ACCAACACCTTAATTGTTCAATACATTTAACAATACATTATTTTATTTACTAAAATAAATTTAGATTTACAAAATAGTTTCTAAATCTACCAGGCCTAAAATTTATCCCATATATATGTAATGTTTGGTATGCATATTTTTCAAAGTCTAATTATAATAAAACTCTGAGAGGGTTCGTGGACCATGAAGTATGGTACCATATCTGTGATAGTTTGATGGGTCCTAAGAATAAAACCAATGACCACAGGGAGCTGTCTTCTTACCATGTATAAGAACTCACATGTAATATCCACATTCCATGTTGTATTGCCATCAGAGGTCTTGGCATTTTTCAATAGCTAAAAAAGCCAAATTTTCAATCTACCGTTGCAACTCGAATTAACCTTATTTTCTATCATAACCAGTTTCTTACTATTTTTTCTGTTCAATGAATTTAATCCCCAACCCGACAGAAAGGGCTAACTTTCTAAAAATATTAATTTTGCACTTAAAACTCTTAATTTCAAATTCCTTTAGCCGGGAGAGAAAAATACAATATTTCATTTACTCACAGGCAAGATCAACTGAATCATGACTAAAGCCAAATATTCAACGTAAAAAATATAGTAAATCTGAATAAAACACTAAGCTATTTACACTAATTCATAATCAATATAATTCAGACTCGTTGGAATTTTTGACTGTCCAATTAAATATTTCTAAATCTATTAACAATGTGGTTTTTGCAATTCTGCCATAATTTCTTGATATCTTACTTATTGTAGGCTTCTAGAATCATCTCTCCCTGAAAGCAAACTTATGTGACCAACAGTATATCATGTCTTATGGGTACAGCATGTGTAAAAGAAAAACAAGTACATTTTTTGCAGTCAGAATTCATTTTGGTTTTTTTTTTTTATTATTTCAGCATTATCTATGGGGAACAATGTTTAGGTACGTATATTGCCATGCCCACCCAAGTCAGAGCTTCAAGCAGTGTCCATCCCCCAGACGGTGCACACCGCACTCATTAGGTGTGAATGAACCACCCTTCCCCTCCCGCCCCACCTAGCTGACACTGAACAATGTTACTATTATATGTGCATTTAAGTGTTGATCAGTTAATAACCATTCATAAGTGAGTACATGTGGTGCTGTTGATTACTTAGTTTAATCTTTATTCTTCTACCATATTAAAGGAGTCAGCTACTTTTATTTCATTCATTTAAAAGATATTAATTGAAGGTCCTTTACATGTAAACATTAATATGGTATTAAGACCTAGGAGAAAATTTAAGAATTGTATCATACAAATCCTGCTCTTGCGACTCCTGTAGGAAAAAGAAAAACACAGTGGAAGTCGAGTAAAAGACTTAAATTTCTTGCCCTAAGCAAGACTATCTACTAGGGTAAAAAAAATGCCTTTTAAAAAATGTTTCTAAGAATGTGATTCTCTCTTAATCTTGAGCACTAAAAGGATCAAAAGTAATATCCAATCAGCCTACTACCACAAACAGAAAGAACTGGTTAGAATCATACACATATGCCTTAATATGCCTAAAAGTATCTCTGTATACTTCTAGGTGTTTCTTTCTTCTTTCTTTTTATGATTTAAGTTCTTTACATCTATGTCTGTGGTTTTCCTCCGGGTCCCTTTGCGGTCCTTCCTTATCTATGAAGCCCAGATACCAACACACGTAAATCACAGAGGAAGCTACCCTTCATTCTTGTCACCGACACACACGACAACTTCCTGTCACCATTTTTTTTTTTTCTTTTTTTAATTGCCAAGCAAGCATTTTGTGCTTGTAGGCCCTGTCACTACTGACGTCGCCATTCTAAACTGCAACTGCCAGCTGCAGAAAGGAAGGTTCGGGTTTAAAGGTGTGAAGGATTAGATGGTGTTCTAGAAGAGTGCCATGAGATGTTTCTCCGATTTCCTTCATTCAACAAATATCCACCCAGCAGCTTTCCAATGTGCTTGCAAGATACAAAGGCATGCAAGGTGTGCCTCTCTCCCCAAGGAGCTTACTATTTTAAGAAGGAAAATAAACTCCCACGTTATAAGTCCTCTCTGTAGGTTTAATTTTTTTAAAGCCTGCACAGCGCATTTCGTTCGCCCATCTGCTCCCTACCTGCTCTCTCTTATTAGGTGTTGATCCCTAAAAAATCATCCTGAAACATCAGCTTCCAAAGGACTCACCCTGAGACATGTGACGGAAGGAAAAGCATGGCATTCCAGCGACAAAACCCTACCATTACTAGCAGAATCTACGAGGGAGGAAATGCCTTCAAAGCCTGTGTTTATATGTTGGTATTTCTAAGCGCTTTAGTTGATTATCACAACCTTGAACTACTGGCATAATAGTTTACGGGATCGAGAAATTACAATAAATCTAGTAGCTAACACAGCATTTTAAAAATCTTTTTAGACCTTCAGTCACTATTTAGCCTTTAGAATATTTACTATAATCTTACCTTATCACTCGGGACAGTAATTTCTGAGTGGCGACTTGGATCAATCTAATCCTGACTTTGTGGCTTTGAGTAGATCTGAGAATTAAGCATTAGCTGTTAGACTATCCACAATTCCCAATCAATGGCTTCAGCTCTGAAAAAAATCAAAATACAACATTTACACATCACGATATGTTTATTAATAAGCACATTTTGTGTTTCTCATACCCAGCCTTGAATTGCAAACTAATGCAAAATTATTGAGAATAGTATCATGAACCCTCATTCATTACACCAGCTTCAGCAAGTAACTCATGGCAAATCATGTTCATTTATATCTTCATCCACTCCTCAACCTCCTACCCCACTCTCTGGATTATTCTGAACGCAAATTCCAGACATCAGAGCATTTCTTCTGGCAATAAATCAGTATGCATCTCTAAGACAAAGATTTACTTGTAAACATAAGCCAAAATCATTATATTCCACTAAAATTATTATTTCTTTATAATATCAACGAGCCATCAGTTCTAAAATTTTCCCAACTGCCTAAGTCTCTTTTAAGGGTTTGTTTTAATCCAAGTCTAAACAAAATCCATACAGCCAATAGTATCTGTGTCTCTTAAATCCCTTTTTTTTTTTTTTTCAACGCACGCTCCTGCTCAGCCTCCCAGTAGCTGGGACTACAGGCATGCGCCACATGCCGCTAATTTTTCTATATAGTATTTTTAGTTGGTCAATTAATTTCTTTCTATTTTTAGTAGAGACAGGGTCGTCGCTCAGGCTGGTCTCAAACTCCCAACCTCGAGCAAATCCACCCGCCTCGCCTCCCGAGATGCTAAGATTACAGCGCGGACCACCGCGCCCGGCCTCTTAAAATAATCCCTTTAATCTAATTTTCCTTCTCCCTTTCTTCTCACATAGTGACAAGTAATGCTTTATTAGCCAATAACAAAGTATAAAAAAAAAGGCAATCACCCAAAGGTATTAAGTGATATATAAATGATTTAATTATATAATTTTTAATAACAAAAAATTAAAGTCATTCTAAATCTTCCTCAATAAGGGATTAATTGAATAAATTGTTATATCCACACAAGGAAGTACATTTTAAATGAGACAGAAAGATGTCTATGATGTATTAAATGAAAACATAAGTAACAGAACTATTTGGACAATAGATTTCTTTCTTTTTTTAAATTCTACTAATGAAAATGTATATGTGCACATTAAAATAAGTGTGTATATTAAAATATGCATAGAAAACAGCTATAATATACATCAAACTTGCAGAAGGTTTACAGAAACTCTTCTGCTAAATAGTACATTAATTTATATCAGCAGCTATTTATTCCCTAAATTTAAAAATTCATACAGAACATTTTAACATTTAAAGTATTTTGATCAGAAATTTTAAAACTTGAAGAATTTTTCTATCTTTTCCCTAAAGGATTTTCCTTTCTTCTAGTATTTGCTAGTTACTATATGCAAACTGAATTTTATCCTAAAACATGTGAAATATAATCCCCTCAAACTTTACAGAGCATTATATTCAACTTTGCAAGATTACACGCAACAAAAGTACTCTGATAAAAAACTATCTTCACCCAAAATATTCGCTATCTTTAAAACAAAACAATGGAATATATTTTTAAACAAAATTTAAGTGGTTTCTACAGCAATAGATAAAATTCCGCATGTTATTTTTTGTTTACATAGCCTATGGGTTGTAGCAATAACATCTTTTCAGTAGCACCTCATTAAAACATTTTCCAAAGATCATCAAAGCTATTAAATTTTTAATGGCTTTATCTTGATTTATAGCATAAATATTCCTCCAGCTAAACTCAAAGCAAAAATGTCATGATCAGAAAAATTTAGGCCAACTACACAGCTAACTTGTTAAACATTTTTCATATTTAAACTTTTCAAAATCAAGATTCATGCTCACTAGAATTCACACTTGTAAAAATTAATTTTACTTGCCTAAAATACTTTTTTGAAAGGGTCGAAAAGAAATATGTTTTTACTTTACCTAGCCGTTGATGCTGGCAGTTGTCACAATGACTTTGATAGAAACTGGTACCACCTGGCTCCCCTACCATCTTCTCTGAAGAAAGCGAATGAAGACGTCTCATCTTAAGTAATCGTGGGGAATTTTCCTGAATGTTGGCATCCAAAACCACATCTCCCGAAAACATGGGAGGAACAACTCTCTTTAAGAAATCCATTTTAAGATTCTTCTACTAGGCTCACAAGCACACAGAAAGGTTCCTTCACCAACTTCCTTGATGACAAGTGAAGGTGCACACTATTTGTGTCAAAGAGCAAAGAAACGTCATGTGAATTTAGGCGGTGCTAAGCCCCAGTGGGTCAGCTGCCAGCTGTTTCCAAGCTGATTTTTAAGGACATTTACTGCTCATGCTGATAACAAACCAAACAGCTACAGACCATGAAACTGCACTTCATGTATACATAAATACACACGTGTGCATGTACAATGGGTGTTAACAGCAATATTAAGGCCATAAAATGTTCAACACTCATCTGGTTTAACATTTAGACTTTGAAAACCTGCAAGGTGGTAACGTAAATACGAATTTACTTTGGTCTCAGGCTGAAGTGTCAAACAGTAACTTGTATTCCAAAGACAATTCTTATTTTTGAAAATTCACTAATAGACCTCAGGAACATCAACTTGTGTAAAACATGAAAAGGAATCACTTAAAACTTTACGCTTGATTATGAATATTCCAATGTACTTTTAAACAAAACAAACAAACAAAAAACAACTCCTTATTACAATCAATCATACTTATCCACAGTAGTGGTAAACACCTTAGCATAAATTATTTAAAAATAACTGATAAAATATAGAGAGCTAAAAAGGGTTGGAGAATTTAAAATATTTAAATTCAATAGATATATCGATACTAGTCATTTATTTTAAAAATAATTGAGCATTCTATTAAATATTTTAAAATAGCAAAAGTAGCTGATCCTACTGCATTAATGTAATCCAGAGGCAGGAAATAACAGTCCAACGAAAGGACAAATACAAAAGACGTGCAGAGCTGAAATTAATAACTTCTCTCTCTTCCTTTGCCTGCCCTCTGGTGGGGGTGTCAAATGAGTAGAAGGAAATGAAAAAACCAAGAAAATAAATAGCGTAAACCCCCTAAGTAATCATATTTATAACTTTGAATTACATACAATAATTTTAAAAATGTGAATCACTTAGTGAAACATAAGCACAATCTCATTCTTCCAATACTCAACAGGAAATCATTTGACATAGAAAATGATTGAAAATCATTGAAAATTATTGAAAATCATTTGACATCTTTCAAAAGATGAAGCAAAAATGAACTATATAGATAGCAGGGGGAAAAAAAATGTATGAACAATTAAGTGTTGTATATTTAGTTATTGGCTAATAAAAGCATTACTTGTCACTACGTAGAGAAGATAGGGAGAAGGAAAACTATAGATTAAAAGGGATTTATTTAAGAGGCCGGGCGAGGTGGCTCACGCCTGTAATCTTGCACTCTGGAGGCCGAGCGGGTGGATTGCTCGAGGTTGGGAGTTCGAGACCAGCCTGAGCGAGACCCTGTCTCTACTAAAAATGAAAGAAATTAATTGACCAACTAAAAATATATATAGAAAATTAGCCGGCACGGTGGCGCATGCCTGTAGTCCCAGCTACTTGAGGCTGAGGCAGGAGGATCGCTTGACAAAAAAAAAAAAAGGGATTTAAGAGACACAGATACTATTGCTGTATGGATTTTGTTTAGACTTGGATTAAAACAAACCTTAAAAGAGACTTAGGCAGTTGGAAAATTTTAGAACTGATGGCTCGTTGATATTATAAAGAAATTAATAATATGTTAGTGGATTATAATGATTTGGCTTATGTTTAACAAGTAAATCTTTGTCTTAGAGAATGCATACTGATTATCGCAGAAGAAATGCTCTGATGTCTGGAATTTGCTTCAGAATAATCCAGAGAGGTGGGTAGAGGTTGAGGAGTGGATGAAGATATAAATGAAACATGATTTGCCATGAGTTACTTGCTGAAGCTGGGTGTAATGAATAGGGTTCATGATACTATTCTCAATAATTTTGCATTAGTTTGCATTCAAGGCTGGGTATGAGAAACACACAAATGTGCTTATTATAAACATACGTGATGTGTAAATGTTGTATTTTGATTTTTTCAGAGCTGAAGCCATTGATTGGAATTGTGGATGATCTAACAGCTAAATGCTTAATTCTCAGATCTACTCAAAAGCCACAAAGTCAGGATTAGATGATCCAAGTCGCCACTCAGAAATTACTGTCCCGAGTGATAAGGTAAGATTATAGTAAATATTCTAAAGGCTAAATAGTGACTGAGGTCTAAAAAGATTTTTAAATGCTGTATTTTAGCTACTAGATTCTATTGTAATTTTTCGATCCCGTAACTATTATGCCAGTAGTTCAAGGTTGTGATAATCAACTAAAGCGCTTAGAAATACCAACATATAAACAAGGCTTTGAAGGCATTTCCTCCTCGTAGATTCTGCTAGTAATGGGTAGGGTTTTGTCGCTGGAATGCCATGCTTTTCCTTCCGTCACATGTCTCAGGGTGAGTCCTTTGGAAGCTGATGTTTCCAGGATGATTTTGGGATCAACACCTATAAAGAGAGCAGGTAGGGAGCAGATGGGGCAGACGAAAATTGCTGTGCAGGCTTTAAAAAATTAAACCCTACAGAGAGGACCTATAACCGTGGGAGTTTATTTTCCTTCTTAAATAGTAAGCTCCTTGGGGAGAGAGGCACACCTTGCATGCCTTTGTATCTTGCAAAGCACATTGGAAAAGCTGCTGGGTGGATATTTGTTGAATGAGGAAATCGGAGAAACATCTCATGGACTCCTTTAGAACATCCATCTAATCCTTCACCTTTACCCGAACCCCTTCCTTTCTGCAGCTGGAGTGCAGTTTAGAATGGCGACGTCAGTAGCGACAGGGACCTACAAGCACAAAATGCTTCTTGGCATTAAAAAAAAGAAAAAAAGAAAATGGTGACAGGATGTTGTCGTGTGTGTCGTGAACAAGAATGAAGGTTAGCTTCCTCTGTGATTAGTGTGTTTGTATCTGGGCTTCATAGATAAGGAGGACCCGCAAAGGGACCGAGGAAAACCACAGACATAAGATGTAAAGAACTTAAAATCATAAAAAGAAAGAAAGAAAGAAACACCTAGAAGTATCAGAGATACCTTTAGGCATATTAAGGCATATGTGTATGATTCTAACCAGTTCTTTCTGTTTGTGGTAGTAGGCTGATTGGATATTACTTTTGATCCTTTTAGTGCTCAAGGATTAAGAGAATCCACTTTCTAGAAACATTTTTTAAAAGGCAATTTTTTTTTTACCCTAGTAGATAGTCTTGCTTTAGGGCAAGAAATTAAGTCTTTTACTCGACTTCCTGTGTTTTTCTTTTTCCTACAGGAGTCCAAGAGGCAGGATTTGTATGAATAAATTCTTAAATTTTCTCCTGAGTCTTAATACCATATTAATGTTTACATGTAAAGGACCTTCAATTAATATCTTTTAAATGAATGAAATAAAGAGTAGCTGACTCCTTAAGTAATTGGTAGAAGAATAAAGATTAAAACTAAGTAATTCAAAGCACCACATGTACTCCACTATGAATTGGTATTAACTGATCAACACTTAAAGCACATATATAGTAACATTTATCAGATGTCAGCTAGGTGGGGGGGAGGGGAAGTGGTATATTCACACCTAATGAGTGCATTGTGCACCATCTGGGGGATGGACACGCTTGAAGCTCTGACTTGGGTGGGGCATGGGCAATATACGTAACCTAAACATTTGTACCCCCATAATATGCTGAAATAATAAAAAAAAAAACCAAAATTAATTCTGAACCAGAAATGTACTTGTTTTTCTTTTACAACCATTTTTCCCCTGCTATCTATATAGTTCATTTTTGCTTCATCTTTTGAAAGATGTCAAATGATTTTCAATAATTTTCAATGATTTTCAATCATTTTCTATGTCAAATAATTTCCTGTTGAGTATTGGAAGAATGAGATTGTGCTTATGTTTCCCTAAGTGATTCAGATTTTTAAAATTATTGTATATAATTTAAAGTTATAAATATGATTACTTAGGGGTTTACTCATTTATTTTCTTGTTTTTTTTCATTTCCTTCTACTCATTGACACCCCCCACCAGAGGGCAGGCAAAGGAAGAGAGAGAAGTTATTAATTCAGCTCTGCACGTTTTTTGTAGAATGTCCTTTCGTTGGACTGTTTGTTTCTGCTCTGGATTACATTAATGCAGTAGGATCAGCTACTTTTGCTATTTTAAAATATTTAATAGAATGCTCAATTATTTTTAAATAAATGACTAGTATCGATATATCTATTGAATTTAATATTTTAAATTCTCACACCTTTTTAGCTCTCCTATATTTTATCAGTTATTTTTAAATAATTTGATGCTAAGGTGTTTA